CAACTGTGAACCTAGAAACTTGCACCCACTTGTGAAAGAGATGTACTCTTGCTCTGGAGTGTGTTACTGCATATGTTAAAGCTGTAGTGAAATGCTTCTTCTAATGATGTAGTTATTAAAATTTTTTAAATGATTAAAAAAATAATTCTTCAAAGCATAAAAATTTTCTCCTTAATAATTAGTAGATGTGAAAAACATTATCATTGAAATCTACCTGATGACTTTATATCCATGCTTTAATCCCAGCACTTAGGAGGCAGAGGCAGGCAGATCTCTGTGAAAAGTGAATTCCAGGCCATGACTACATAGTAAGACCCTGTCTCAAAAAGACCAAAAAACAAACAAACAAACAAACAAAACAGACAAACAAAAAAAACCCTTAGATTTATGGATATATTTCACTTCAGTGAGCACAGTTCAGCTCTTGGGGATATCACTAATCCCAGCACTTAGGAGGCAGAGGCAGGCAGATCTCTGTGAAAAGTGAATTCCAGGCCATGACTACATAGTAAGACCCTGTCTCAAAAAGACCAAAAAACAAACAAACAAACAAACAAAACAGACAAACAAAAAAAACCCTTAGATTTATGGATATATTTCACTTCAGTGAGCACAGTTCAGCTCTTGGGGATATCACATTTATCATATGCCGCATTTGAAAACACATAGTAGAGGGGCTGGAGAGATGGCTCAGCAGTTAAGAACACTGGTTGTTCTTGCAGAAGACCCGGGTTCGAATCCCAGCACCCACATGGCAGCTAACAACTATCTGTAACGCCAGTCCCAGGGGATCCAACAACCTCTTCTGACCTCTGCGGGCATTGCATGACATGGGTGTACTTACCTACATCCAGGCAATACACACATACACATAAAATAAAAATAATAAAATTAAAAAGAAAAGAAAGTAGAAAAAGGATCCAGCTTTGTTATAGTGGTAGAGTGACCACAAACAAATCATTTAACCATCTCTGTGCCTCAGTTTTTCCCCCTGGTAAAATTAGATAATCCTAACAGTCAACATTTGTCGAAATATAAAATTTTTTAAATTAAAAAAATAAAAGGGAAGAATTATTTTATGTACTTTTACAAGGTATGCTGGAGAAATAAGTATTCATCTACATAAAGTAAACAAAATATGGTGTATACATAAGAGTATTTTTCAGTCATAAAAGGAAATTGAATTTTCATACATTCTATAATTTGGATTAACTTTAAAAACACTATGGTAAGTGAAAGAAGCCGGGCGTGGTGGCACAGAAGCTGGGTGTGGTGGTACAGAAGCCGGGCGTGGTGGCACAGAAGCCGGGCATGGTGGTAAAGAAGCCGGGCGTGGTGGCACAGAAGCCGGGCGTGGTGGTAAAGAAGCTGGGCGTGGTGGTGCACGCTTTTGATCACAGCACTCCAGAGGCAAAGGCAGGCAGAACTCTGATTTGAAGGCTAGCCTGGTCTACATAGTGAGTTCCAGGCCAGCTAGTGCTACGTAGTGAGAACTAGTCTGAAAAAAAAAAAAAAAAAAAGACTTACTATGGTTAGACACAAAGGATGAATATTATGTAATTCCACTTATATGAATAATTAAGCACTCAGGGCCAGTGAAGTGGCTCAGTAGTTAAAGGTGCTTGCTGCCAAGCCTGATGACCCAAGTTTGATCCCTGGGCCCCACATAGTGGAGGGAAAAAAACTGACTCCTACAAGTTGTCCTCTGACCTCCCTGTGCCACAGCACACATGTGGCATCACTATATATACATATATTCATATATGCACAAAAATACAAATAAATGCTAAAAATTTAAACAGCGAAATTCATCAATATAATGTATAATTGATGTAACCAGGGTCTCCGGGAAGTGGAAAAAGAGCAGTTTTTGTTCAATAGATACAGTTTCTTTCTAAAAGTTTTAGAACTAGATGGTAATTGTGGTTATGTAACAGTGAGAATATAATCAATAGTATTAAATTGGTTACTGTGAAGGCTGATCCTAATTGTGAGCTTGATGGGATTGAGAGACACTCAGGAGATTAGTGAAGTGCAGTGTACTTCTGAG